TCCAGAACTCAAATGCAGCCCAGTGGTCATGCAAGCGTTATCTTAGCCTAACTGCTCCCCAGCCTCCCAAAGCTCTCCTCTCACCCTGGATATTCCCGCTGCCCCCACCTCCAATCAAAACCCATCCCAACAATCCAGTTCCCCCCATAACTCCACATACCCATTCACTCCAGCCACGCCCCACCCCAGCCATGGTCTCCAGCCCCTACTTTATAAGGGCCATGCCTGTTCCCGCCCCCCTCCCCCATCCCCCCAGACAGGGACAGAGGAACAAAAAGACACTAATTTGACAAGACCACCGAGAGGCTGATTATGCCCATTGCAAGGCTCCTGTTGTGTGGGAGAAGCACCCAGGCCAGGGTGGGGTCTGGCTCAGGCCCCCTGAGGGGGCCTTGAAGACACATCACTAAAGGGCGTCCCCACGAAACCAGCAGTGACCACATACGCATGAAACCCAGCAGGGCTACAGGAAACCTCGTAGACAAGGGCATTCATAGGTAAGGAGGGGTGGGCGAGCAGGGCCCCTGCACCAGGGTCTCTCCACCTTCCTGCTGAGCACCTGAGCCGCATGCCCTCACGGCCACCCAGCTGTCTCTGGCCCTCACTGCAGCCTGCTCGAGGTGGCAGGTGTGTGGGCAGGTGTGTGCATGCACCATCTCAGACCCATCTCCTGCCTCGGAAGTGCTCACTGGGCAGCTGAGTGGCCCTGGTCACAGGCATAGCATGGAATTGAGTCCTGCCTGAGGAGGAAGGACTGAGGGTGCAGACACCACCAGGTTCTGGCATCCAAGAGACCCAGGCCCATGTCCCAGCTCCACCCCTTACCAGCTGTGAGAACCCCCCAAGCTAATCAGCTTCTCTGGCCTCCATTTCCTCATTGTTAACCGGGTAAGCACTGCCTATTCAAAAGGTCAAAGATCAGGCATGGAAGGCAGGGAACACAGGGCCTGGCCCAGCAGGGACCTCCAGCCGCTCAGTCGCCTGCCCTGGTGTCTGAGCAGCAGCCCCGCCAGGTGGCAGACCCCGCAGTCTGCAAGGCCTGTCCGTTCTGCACCACCCAGCCCTGCTCTCACTCTAGCTTCTCTCCACGTTCCTGCTCTGGCCACCAGGAGCCGCTCTCAATTCCTCTTGCCAGCTCAGGGCCTCTGCCCTTAACACCCTGCGCTCAGCCTTTAGGTCTGGGAAGCCGTCCCTGACCACTCTCTTGGGACTGGGGTGAGTGACAGCTCTCTTCCCTCAGGCCACATGGAAAGGTTGCTTGTCTGTCTCTCCTGTACCTGCAGGTTCCCCACGACATCCCCAGGGCCTTGTGCACAGAGGGCCCAGTCAATGTTGCTGAACAGGTGAAGGTGGCAGGCTGATGTCACCCCCAGGGCCTTCCCCACCCGGCCTGGGCCCGTGCCCCTGCCCTGAACTCACCTCCACATCAGCGTCTGGTGGACTGTGGGCCGCAGGTGAAAGACATGGTTGCTGACGGCCAGGTTGTGCTCAAGGCGGAAGGGCTCCAGCACCACGCCATCCCGCACGGGGAACGTGAGCCGCAGCTCGTCATTGTGGGTGGCTGGGTGGGGAGGAGCCGATGAGCCACAGGCCTCTGGCCGCCACGGGCGCACAGAAGTGTGGGCTCTGGGGCGTGGGGGGGGGGGGGCTCATTCACCCCCATCACACACACCCTTGGCTGCATGCTCAGAGGAACACACAGGTGTGGGTGCAAACAGGGCCACAGAAGCTGGGCTGTGTGCTCTAGTACACACCAGCGAGCCCATCACTTCTCCCAATCTACCAGGCCCCATCCCGACCATCCCTGTCTCCTCCTCCCCCCACAGGCTCCCTGCTCTGGGAGCCCCGGCTTCCTCTCCCAGCCCCTTCCCAGCTGCTTCTCCCCCAGCCTCCTCCTGCCCTTTCTACATGCCCAGCCCCCAAAGGCAGGGCAACCTCCAAGCCCCTGGCTCCTGGCCGGACACAGGCAGGGAGAGTGGGGTGCTCACCTGGGGGTGGTGGCAGAGCACTCATATTTGGCTTGATGTCAGGCGGGAAGGGTGGCTTAACATCTTGGCTGGGGGACAGGTACGGGGGGATGCTGCTCCCAGGAGTCATGGGGGGTGTGGGATTCCCTGGAACAGGCGAGTGGGGGTAATTTGCCACAGGAACTGGCCTGGGAGGCTGGAAGGAAAGAGAAGCCACACATAGGTTATGGGGTCACAGAGAGAGAAGGAACCATGGCTGTGGACACACACCCCACCCAACCCAGGTCCTAGGCTATGGGCTCTGCTCCCCTGAGGAAGGAGAGCCCCTGGAAAAACTACTCCCTCCTTCCTGGCTGCACCCAGGCTTCTGACCCCATCAGAAAACAGGTAGGAGGTGCAGGGTCCCCCAGCCCATTTGACCAATGGGGACCCAGGCCCTGGGTGATGGGGACTTGTCTGATGTAACCACGGGAGGAAAGAGCTGGGTCAAGCCCAGGGTTCCTGCTCCCACATCATGACTCTGGGCCAGACCACTGGGGTCTGCAGCATCACAGGGCAGTGGCTCCCCAGGAGCCCCTCTCCCTTTCTCTCTTAGTCCCCACCTTGCTTTCTTCCAGGACCGGCCAGGGCCACCCGTACGCCCCCCGCCCCCCGAAGCTGCGGATTCTCTGGCCAGGCACGCATGCCCCAGAGCAGATGACCCGAGAGCGCACCCCATCGCCAGGCCCCCCTCACATTCAGAGGCACTCGGGGCATAGTTCCTAAGACAAAAACTACGCACCCTATTGACGTTCCCTTGGCTGTAGTTACTGTAGCTGCTTCCCGAGAAGGTGTTATTCTGTCCATTAAACTGCTCCGGCTGTGAAAGCAAGATCAAGAGCGCGTGAGTGGAGAGAAAGCCGCTCTCCCTCCTCAATGAAATCTGCCGGGAGTATGGGGGTGCTGAAGAGGCCCCCCGTGCTGGGTGGGGAGCAGAGGGGGTAGAGCAGCTCACCCCCTGGGGGCAGCGTTCCCCTTCTCTCTGTCCACAGTTACTAACTTAGCAAAAGAGCTTACAAAAACGCAAACACGATTGTGCCGAAGTTGGAGCAAAAATAGTAATGCCCCACGGCAGGTGGCCACGTCCGTTGACATAATTCCTTGGCAAATACATGTAAGCTATTTCCAGAGTCTTCTAATCCCAAAGAAGGAAGACACTATGTGCCTGAAGACATTCATCGTAGTATCATTTCAAAAGCGAAGTCAGAAAAACCCAATGTCCACCAGAAAGGACGGATAAATACGGCAGCTCCCTCCGGGGAATGCGAGGCGGCCAGCACAAGTGGAACCACGAGACACCGAGGCAACAAGTGGCATGCTCATGATCTCGTGTCAGAGGTTAAAACATTGCACCACGCCCTGGCCGGTTTGGCTCAGTGGGTAGAGCGTCGGCCTGAGGACGGAAGGGTCCCGGGTTCCATTCCGGTCAAGGGCACACACTTTGCTTGCAGTCTCTTGGCCCTGGTTGGGGGCATACGGGAGGCAACCAATTCATGTGTCTCTCTCACATCAGTGTTTCTGTCTCTTTCTCTCTCTTCCACTCTCTCTAAAAATCAATGGAAAAATATCCTCGGGTGAGGATTAAAAAAAAAAATCACAGCCACAACAACTCTACACCATGTTGGACATGCACGTGGAGAAACAAGGTTTGATGAAATGTTAATGAATTCAGGGTGCTTTCCCTTTAAAAGACGTATTTCCTTTATTGTTATCTTGGGTGTGCTGCAGGTAGTCAAAGGAGAAGGAAAAACATCCTCTGAGCCCGTGAGGAGAGGAACCAAGAGAAGCCAGCCTGGCCTCTGGTCACTGCATGCAGAGCTCCGGGCAAGGACACTCCTGGCGACTGTAGGGGACACCCACACCTCGAAGGCACGGTGGGGTGGGGGTGTGGGGGGACTCACCTTGTAATACTGCCCCATGTTGACCGTGGGGGGCGGGTACTGCCCGGTGCTCGGCTGGCTGGGCATCCTTTGCCCGGGGTAGTTGGGCGAGGTGAGCGGCCGCGGGGGGTTGGGGGTGGGGTACTGGCCTGGCTGTGTGGGGAACTGGCTGTTTGGTCCGTATTGCTGGTTTCCATAGTTGGGCTGTGGCAGCAGAGAAAGCGGGAACTCGTCAGTGTCTGGGAGCCGAGCCGCTGGCTGGACTGCCAGGACCGCCTACCTCTCTCCTCCACTGTCCCTGCCGTTTCCCACCCTCGGAATCCCTCCCCACCTGGAAAGGGAGGTGGAGCCGATGAGCTTGGGGCGCTTCTTGCCCGGACACGCGGGGACATTACATTCTGTCCATCTGGCCCTGAGCCGTCTTTTTCGAAGCACCGTGCCCTCTGAACTCTGGGGGTACCGCTAAAGCCTCTCGTTAACACCATTGTGTGGGGGCTTGATTCTACAGCCCCCTTGGTGTGTCTCTGTCCTGGTGCTTGGAATGTGACGGGCACACAGACCACAGGCTGCGCCTCCGGAAGGTGACCCCACCCTGCATCTGAGGCTGTTGGAGGGCAATGTCCCCACACCCAACACCCCACACCGTGTGGAACACACTGTTCAGTTTTGGGCCATCTGTGCAGAAGTCAGGAGACCAGGGTGGCGAAGGGCTAAGAAAACGCTCTCAGGGGAGGCACTTGGGAGGGGAGGGGAGAGGAGAGGAGAGGAGAGGAGAGAGGAGAGGAGAGGAGAGGGCTCCAGAGAGGGGGAGGGACAGGCAGGGGCACTGTCCTCGGAGAGGTATGAGGTGGCACATGCCACTTCTGCTCATGCTGGCCTCCACCCTCCAGTCACCTTCCCCATCAGTGAGATCAAGTGGCCCAGCCATTATGTCCTGCAGAGCCAGTGCTTTCTCCTCCCCTGTGTGTGTGAAACCCCTTGTCCATTCATTGTCTCTCTTGCCCTCTGGCCTCAGAGGTCTCGGAGACCTCTGTCCCAGGGCCTGGCATGAAACAGGCCCTCAATAAACACTCGCTCAAGGACCAAAGGAAGGACCGGATAAAGCACAGAGGTGGGAGGCGTCTGTCGTGCTGAGGAACTCTAACTCCGTGCTGCGAACGTGGCTCTGCGACGGCGAGGTCCCCACCACACCCCTGGAGGCTGCGGCCTGCCCCCCAGGCTGGAGAAGGGATCCTGTACGGGACAGGGGCCCTGACTCAGCCCCACCCCAGGAGCCCAGCAGTTCACAGACTCTGGGGGGTGCCAGTCAAGCTGATGCCAGCTTCCTGGACAGGGCCAGCCTGTGCTACCCAGTGCCACAGCCCAGGGTCAGGTACTTTGCACCGCGCGCCCCAGCGTTCTAGGGAGAAGATGATGATCTAGTAAAAAGAATCAAGAGCCTCTGGTGGGCCCTGCTGCGGCAGGACAGCAGGGAGCGGGGCACTGGGGCAGGTGCTGGGCCGATGTCAGGCTGACGACCAGGTAGCCCCAGCCTTTTCCAGGGACAGCTCCTTGGGTGCCAGCAGCCCTGCTGGCCGGGCTACGGAGGCCCCTGTGGCCCAGGCAGCGGGGACGACAGGAGTTTGAGCACAGAGAGGGCTGAGCACGGGAGTGAGGCCAACAGTGCGAGGTCCCCTGAGAACAGCCAGGATCTTGGGGGCCAACTGCCTCCGCTGGCCCCTTCCTGAACTGGTGCCAACCTGAAGGCATGTCAGGGCCTGGCCCAGGCTCCTGGGTGTTTTTGGAGATCCCTGACCTCTCCCCGAGGACTCAGGACAGCTCACCAGTGGCCCAGCCACCTGCTAGCCCAAGCTAAGGTGGACGCCGAGGAACCCCACAGACCTTGAAGGGACTTACGGCCTTAGGGCTTTAAACTCACTGTGAGCCCCAGCTGAAGGCCAGAGTTCTGAGACAAAGGGATGAAGCTGACCTGGGAATGGGCACACAAGCCGAGTGCTGGGGAGATGCTCGGGCAGGGCTCTGTCCAGGGGAGGCATCAAGGCAGGCTTCCTGAGGGCTGTGTGCCAGCCCATGGTTCTGGGGGCCCCGTGTCTTCTGCAGCTGACCAGACAGGCCACTTGCTACCAGCTCCTGGTCTGAGTGCTCCCTGCAGGCCTGGGGTCACCCCCCAGAAGGTCTTCCTTCCCTGACCTCACTTGGAGCCCCATGTGGGTCCTTGCTCAGACCTATCTTTCCTGCTGAAGCCTCGGATCACAGAGGCAGGAGGTGTGGATCTGACCCGTAGAGCAGCTGACTACGGACGGAAACACGCTGTCTGCTTTCCAGCCTCCTCTCCGATGTGGCCAGTCTTTAACACTTACAGGCTGTTGTCTCCCCTCTAATGCTTAGAGGGAAGTGGGGAAGCCCTGGTGCGGGCGGGAGGCTGTGGGCCTATGGAAGTGTAGTTCCTTCCAAAGTGTCCCCGCTACCGTCTACACGAGACAAACGCGAACGCTGACAGAGGCCACGGCTCGCCGGGCCCTCCCACGCCAGCCCAGGGCGAAGCTCCTCGTCTCCTCACTCAAGTCCCACAAGCAGCCCTCGGAGGGAGGCTGGAGCGCCACCGCCTTTTCCAGGTGACGAGGCTGAGCCTCAGGGAGGACTTGCTCAAGGTCTCCCAGCGGGAAAATGGCAGAGCGGGGCTGAAACCCAGGAGCCCCTGACTCCTTGGGCTCTAGCTTTTGGGCCAGGTTTTCTAAGGGGGTCAATCCCTTTCCAAGGTACTTCCCACAACTTCAAGCCCCAGGACCCTCCCTCCTCCAGCCCTGCCCACCACCTGCCTGTGGTCACACTCACCTCTCCTGGGTATGGCCTCTTTATGCTCTGAATGGGAAGGGACTGGGGCCGGGGGCCCGGGTAGGTCTGCTGGGGCATCCGCTGCCCATGTGTGCCAAAGGGGCTGATGCCGGGCGGCCGGGGCTGGTTCATGCCCATGGGAGGGCCGCTCATCCCGGAGGGTGTCATGCCAGCCGCCATGCTTGCAGGGTTCATGCTGCCCCCCATGGAGGCAGGCCCCCGTGGCCCGGGCTGGTTCATGAATTGGCTGTTATACGCCTGGGTGGGACCCATCTGGAAAGAGGAACAGACCTTCAACGGGAGAAGAAGAAAAAAAAAGAATAAAATGCCACATGCATTGAAAGTGCAGGGAGGGAAGGGTAGGGAGGTGGGGGGCTTGGGATGGGGGGCACTTTCCTGTGTGGTTGCCACTGGGGACCAGGCCCCTAGGAGCAGCCAGCCTCCTGGGCTCACTGCTGCCCTCTGCAGACCGCACAGGAAAGATGCAGCCCGAGGGGTTAGGGGGTGGGGCATGGTCACTCCAATGCACAGGCAGCATTTCCAGGGAGGCAGGCAGGAAATGGGTAAGAGGGTGCAGGGCGGGCAGGACGTGGGAGGATGGAGGCGGATGAGGATGGAGGCAGGAGCCCCTTTCCTGGAAGCCCTGGCCCCACCCTTGGTCCTTGGCCAATGGAGATACACCCTCCATCCAGATGTGGCCCAATTCCTACCTCAGCCCACCAGCCCTGCTGTCTCACCCCTGCACCTGTCCTGCATTCCTGTGGGGGATGCCCCCTCCTCAAACCCCACCTGGTCCTTCTGAAGGTCAGGAGGGCAGAGCTAGGACCTGGGCGGGATTCACAGATGTTGACTAGGAGAGCAATGGCCCTCAGAGGCACCCAGGGACTAGCTGGTGACAAGGCTGTGCTAGACACCGAGCCCTCTTTGGTGAGGAGGGGCCCAGAGAGCAATATGGAACCTCTGCCCACATGCAGACACACACTACACCCAACCAGACACATCCACACCCTAACACAATCTCCAGGTGCTCCCACGAAAACCCAATGTACCCCGACACCATCAGCTCCCTCAGCATATACAGCCCCACTGGCACCAACACCCCAATTCTGACACCCGGGGGCTCTCTGCCGGGCTGGCTGGGTGAGACTGGACCAGGACTAGAGGGGCCCTTACCGGTCCATATTGGTTTATATCCTTATTCTGCGTCTCCTGCAAGGCTGCCACAGTGGCAGTGGCCGTGGCTGTGGCCGTGGCTGCGGCTGCTGCCACTGCAGCTGCGGCGGCAGCGGCGGCCGGCTGACTGAAGTCAGCAGGCGGCCTGGTGTGCGGAGGGATGCCCATGCTTGCGGGGGCATTAGGACCCCCGGGGTAACTGCGAGGGAGAGAAGGGAAGAGTTAGACATGCCTGGGCTGGGAGGGAAAGGATGGGGCCGTTACAGGCCCTCCTGCCCTCTGCTCACGGAGGGGGAGGTGTCTAGACTCAGAGCCCAGAGGGGACAGGGGCCTCTTGGGGGTCGGCAGCCATTCATGCCACTTGGCGACCACCGAGCTGCTGTGTTCCTGGAGCCCTGGCTCGACGTGGCTGATGCTCACTGTCATGTGCATTAAATCACTGCACCTTGCCTGCCCTGCTGCTCAGCCCTGGAGGAGGATGTGGAATCTCAGAGAACCCGAGCAACACGCCCAGAGCTCTTCAGAGGTGGATGGGCTGGCGATGCAGCTTCAGGTGTGTATGGCACCTGCGTTGAACCACCTGCTGCGCTGGTACTCGGCAGGGCTGCGGTCAGCCCTGGGAGCTGGGGAGGGGTGAGGTCAGGAAGGTGATCTTGGACAGAGCAGGGCAGCAAGAGGAGAAATGGGGCACCTCCACCCCACCCATGTCCCGGAGCACCTTCCGGGGGGCTCCTCCTCCCCCCCCTTTCCCGTGAACCGGGGACTCTCAGCCTCTGCACAGCTCGGCCTCTGTAAGCAGCAGGCAGGGCTGAGCTCCCACGCCCCGTCTGTAGCTGCCCTTGAACTCCCCTGAGCCAGCTTTCAGTGTCTTCCAACTTACACAGGTGTGAGGAGGAGGCACACTCTGAGGAATGGGGTCCTTCTATCCCCATGGGCCTGGTGGCTGTCACATGCCACCCAGCTGCTGTGGGCCAGGGATCAGCGGCCCGAGAATGAGGGACAACGATGTCCCTTCATCTGATGGGACGGCTGGGGGCAGAGGTGCCTGGGCTCACCCGCCCTACAGGCCAGGAAGCATGGCACTGGGACTGAAATCGGACTCTGCCTGGATGAGGGGAAGAGCAGGGTGCCCGGCGCTCTGAGGCTCACCTGGCCCCGAAGCCCCCGCTGCCAGGGTAGTTGGGCCGGCCGTACATGCCCTGCTGGATGTAGGGCTGTGCGGGACCCGCCTTGGCCGAGAACTGCTGCTGCTGCCCAGCAAACTGGGGGGAGTTGAGGCCGGGGTTGCTGGTGGTCATGCCCGACGCCATGGGGTTGCCGCCTGGATTCATGGGGTTGTTGGCATTGGCCATAGGGTTCCCGAGGACCTGTGGGCAGAAAGGGTGGCTGTCACCCGAGGGAGTAGCCCCAGGTGACATGGAGAGAAAAAAGAAGAAACGGGGAAAGGGCGGTGGAGAAAATGAAGCAGAGGGAGGGCAAGAGAGGAAAAGGAGAATAAGGGAGGGGGGGCATTTACTGTGCCCAGAGTGCACGATGATCAGAGGAGGAACCCAGCCAGCAGGCAGCAGAGAGAACCTCAGCCAGCGGGGAAGGAGGAGCTGGGCCTGCACCGGGCAGGTGGGGAAGCAGAGGGGCCTGGACGCCCAGAGGGTGGCCACACAGAGGCCCTGGTGGCTGCCATGTGATGGCAAAGAGAAGCCCAACTTGCCAGCGATGGAGTGTGGCAGAATCCTGGCTGAGGGGCCCCTGTGGCCCGAGACCACAGGTGATTCCCTCCAGGGCGGCACTAGCCCTGAGCCGGCCTCATGGCCATGGTAGGGACCGGGGCTGGGCGGGCAGAGAGGAAGGAGTGGAGAAAAGAGGAAGGCACGAGAGTGGGAGGCAGGGTTGACTAGGGATTTGTCACAAGTTTAGGCTTCACGTTTTGCTGAAATCTAAGCAGGTCCTTCAGGGTCAAAGACCCCAGATGTTGGAGCCCTGATGCCATTAACACTCAGGAAGTCCTTCTGTTTACCCAACCAAGGAACCGCGGGCCGGGGAAGAAGCCCTGCTGTCCGTCTGTGAGATGAAAGCTACTTCCCCAGAAAGACCCTAGGAGGGGGCAGTGCCCAGGGCCAGATGCTGCCCTCCGGAGGCAGGTGTGAGCCCATCCTGGGTGGAGGCGTGCCCAAGGCTGGGTGTGCCCCGCACGCTGGTCCTCCAGCTGGGCAGAGCCTGGGATAGCAAGGAGGGCTGGCCTGTGACCCGAGGGCCCCAGGGCTTGAGGGATGGTCCCACCTGGAGGGGCTATGATGGGGGCAGGACAGGCTCTTACCTGGCTCTGGGATGTGTTGGTCACTCCCCACACCGTGGTGACCACGGAGAGGGAGCCGGGAGGCTGGTTGGTGTTCTGCTGCCAGGGGACAGGGTCGTAGGGGAATGACCCATCACTGCGAAGGGAGACAGAGGGGTTCTCAGGGGCTGCGGACACTGAGCAGGCCAGGGCGTGCCCACCACCCGCCGTGCTCTGCGGCTCCCAGCCAAGCCTGGCAGTTCTGCATCCCCAAGGCCTGGCACGGAGGCCAGTGCAGGACAGGTGTATCTCAGATGGTGACAGACTGCCAGGGTGGCCACCTCTCCTGCCACCCCCAGGCTGTCTGTCTCACCCGAGCCTGAAGTCCACAGGCCACACCCCGGAGGAGGAAGAGAGAGACCCGCAGGCTGACTCTCAGCACCTCCTGCAGCCACGCTCGGACTCTCAGGGGCTGTCTAGAACCATCTCTCGCTCCCCCGCACCAGCTTCCCCTCGGAACTTCCCGGGCCCTTCTCAGAAAAGGTCAGAAGGCCCCAGCCTGAGTGCTGGCTCTTCCCCTTCCTCCCGAGCCCTCGTGGGGGGCTGCCTGTCCAGGCGGCCCATGTGGCTGTTGGAAGGAGCTTCCTCTGTCACTTTCTTCCCACTCCAGACCACAGGTCTCGGCCACCTCTTCCACCGCCTCTGTGCACACCCGCCATGCTAAGCGCTCCGGCACCTAAGACCTGGGCAGTCAGAGGTTTTCAATTGCTCTCATGTTACCAGGCAAAGTCCAAACGGACACTGCGAAACGACCTACCCTGACCACGTCCCACCGGGCTTCCCGCCTTGGCTCCCTCCATCCTGGAACCCCCCCCCGCTGTTCCCACGTCTTCCCAGTCACCTCGCTAGGCCCAGCAGGACCCACCTTGTTTGGTGACATCTCGAGGAACCCCCAAACACCAGAAGCCAGGGCCTAACCTCAGGCCCTGCCCTACACACAGTAAGTGCTCAATAGTGGCTTCCTTTTATTAACGGCCGTGGTGCAGGCGGAGAGTGAGGCCCAGCAGACCCAGAGGAGAGATGATCCGGGCACAACCCCAGAGAGAGGGCTGGCAGGGTCCCAGCCCCGGGGGTGCCAGGCTGGGCTGCCTCGTCCCTCAGCGACTCCTGCACTGACTCTGGCACCTTGCACACAAGATGCACGGCCCCGGGAAGGACAAAAGGCAGAGCACTCAATTGGGGTCCCACCTCGGCCCACGGCATTCCGGCGGGAATGAGGCCTGCAAGGCGGCACTACTGGGTACTTGGGGGGAGCAGCTCTGGAGGAGGGTGGCATGGCAGAGGGCATCTCATGCCTCCGTCTGGCTCGTGTCTTCAGAAAGTCAGAAGACAAAGACCTTCACTCACACCCGGAGGTCAGGACTTCCAGGAGGGATGCTGTCCTGTGCCACCGGCACGGAGGGCTGCTGGGGGTCTTGCACCTGCTCCTTGCCAGGTGGAGCCCTTGGCAGTGTGGGTGGAGTCGGGTGGGCACCCTGCAGAGGTGCTCAGGCTGAAGGGCAGGCCTGTCACTGTGTGTCCATGCTTGCTCTTCCCTTGCCTGGCCCGGGCTTCCTTCTTGTCTCTGCTCACCAGTCATTCCCTGGCGGGCCTGTCCCGACCTCCTGGTGTGAGAGCAACCCCACTCCGTCCCCTCTCCTCTTGCCCTGCCTTTTGGTAGCCTGGGTCCAAGTGCTGGTCCTGACCCTTCCTGGCTCAGGGACCTGGTGCACGTTTCCGAGCCCGATGCATTCAGCATCCTCATCTGTAAAAGTGGGCCTGAGAATGGCGCCCTCCCCCACCCCCACCCCGACCCCCACCCCCATCCCCACTGCCACCGCCACCCACTCAGTGTTTTCCAGATGCTGGTCAAGAAACACGAGCGGGTCATGACATCAAATGGGGCCGGGGAAAAGGTGGGACCACACAAAGCAATCGAGCGAGATCACTTGGTAAGGCTGAAGGCTGTCCTTGACCTTATGTCTTGATTTCAGTCAGTATAGATGCGCCCTGGGTCACGGTGTAATGTGCACGTTCACTGTGGGTCAGGTCGGCTCGAGCAGCGCAGGCCTTGGCAGTGCGCCCGAGGTGAGTCAGAGGAGAATGCAGACGGAGGCTTTCTGAGCTGGAAAGTGACCCAGACTCAGGCGTACTCATGACTCCCGGGGAAAACAGCGGGTCGAGAACGGGGAGAGGAGCTGCTCTCAGGGACCAGCCCTCCTGCCTGCTCCCTGCTGGCCTGACACCCACCATAGGGGTCCTCGGAGAGGGGCCGAGGCCCAGAGGCACAGGCCAAAGGGGACAGAGCTCACAGTACACACACCTGGGAGTGCCGACTGGGGACCCAGAGAACCCGGGCGGGAGGAGAAGCACAGGAAAGTGAGCAAGGCGCCCGCTCCTCGGTGCGGCCGGGCCGGAAGAACCTCTGCTCTCCAGGCCGAGGTCCCTGGCCTTTGCGGCTGCCTGCTGGGAAGTACTTCCCTCCTCTGTCCATATCTGGCTGCCATTCAGAGGGCGGCCAGAGCGCCTGGGATCCGAGAGCCCCACTCTTGGTAATCCTGCCCACGACAACGAGGAAGCCGCTGGACCCTCTCTCATGCGGGGCCTCCGTCCTGGGTGTGGTTGGATGGAACTCAGGACCCCCAGCCACTGCCCAGAGCACAAGCCGGGTCTGTCCTCTCTCCCTCCAGGTCTCCTGCCCCACAAGCTCTACCCGCCGGCAGGCTGACGTCCGCCATGGCACCTGCAGGTTGAGGAAGTGAAGCCGGGCGAGCCCCAGAGGCCAGCAGCTGCCGCCTCACCACCTCAGCGGGGAGGCCCCCGCTCGCCAGGATCCTTCACAGGCCCACAAACAGCTCCGACTGCCTGCCTGCCGCTCCGTGGGTGGGCCTTGTGGGCGGAAACCGGCTCCTTCCTGTTTCGCCCCCTCTACCCCAAACTCGGTGAGAAGCAAACTTAGCCCATGTTCCCAAACTGGGCATTCCGCCGTCTGGCTGGTAGGCTCCCCCAGAGCCCAGGCGCACACCAGTGGGCAAGCGTGTGTATGAGGGACACGTATGTGTGCATACGCACGAGCCCCGCTGGCAGGCTGCTGTGCACACCGGGGGAGGAGACGGGCACACACACAGGGGTGGTCTCGGGGACTCGCTCGCCTCCACTTGCACCTGCTGCAGAAGCAGAAGTGGCAGCCGCACCAACACGGCTGTGACTCATCTCCTGGGCAGACAGCTCCTGCTGTCACAGCGAAGACTCTCGCCCCCACAGGCGCGGCACTCAGCCCTGCCGATGCCATTGCCCAGACATCACCACTGGGGCTTGCCCAGTCCCTGTGCCCAAGGATCAGGGACAAGCCAGGCTCCTGGGCCCTACAGGATGAGAGGGGGCCCGGAGTGACAAAGATAAGACGTGTGTGTGTGTGTCTGTGTGTGTGTGTGTGTGTGGAGGGGTGTCCCGAGGCTCCTTTCCTCCCTCTGGCAAGTCCTATTTCACCAGCAGACATGCTCAGCCCAGGCCAGAGGTCCTTGGCATTTCCCCGCTGCCCACTGGGCGGAGGGAGGTCCGAGCCCCCAGGATCCGAGAACCCCACGCCTAGTAATCCTGCCCAGCTCTGCACATCCTTGATCCAGCCAGACCTGGCCTCATGTCTGAGCTGCCCCAGCCACAGCCCTGCAGCCAGAACTGCCTCAAATCCCATTCCTCCTGCAGAGGCACCTGTGCCAGGAGCCGTGTGCAATCTCAGCGGTGTTCTCCTGCCAAGCGCCTTCTAACACAGGGCAGCTAGCTGCTTTCCCACCTCTGTACCTCTTCCCAGCTGGATGCTTCGTCCCCACCCTGAGAAATGCCACTCCTCCTCCTCCTCCAAAGGCCACTTTCTTCAGGAAGCCCTGGCCATGTCCACTCACTCCTCCTGCTTTTGGGGTCTGCAGGCGCCCCCTGCCCAGGAGCCCGGACTTCTCGGGCTCCCTGTTCCTGGCAAGATGCCTGCCCACCCGCACAGGACTGAGGAGCCCTTGCTAATCAAAGTGCCAGGGAGAAACAGCGCCGACCGTGTTCATCCTCCGAGGGCAGCCGGGAATGAACGAAAGCGTCCGTGCATTAAGCCTGACTGCTGACCACCTACACGTGCTTGTGGCCAGAGGCACCTGCACCCAGGAAGTGGGCGGTCCTGCCCTCCAGAAAGAGGGACAGAGGGAGGTGAACGAAGCCACTACTCTCTCTGTGCCTCAGTGTCACCTGTAAAATGGGGACGGTACTGCCCCTCCCTCCAGAGGTTGTCATGGGGATTAAGCGAGCCCACATGTGTAAGGCAAAATGACTGACTCCAGCACATCTCGGCACCCCAAAACCGTTGGCTGCGGTTACTGTTGCTCTTGTTATGATGTATGTAGTGGCTTCTACACGCAGAGACAATGTGAAGTGACTTTCACTTAGAACTTGTTTAATGCCTTTAAGTGAGCTCAACGGAAGCATCTCTTAGGAGCTGAGGGTCACTGGGTCCCAGAGCTCAAGGGCCAGGGCGCCGTGGGCCCACCCATCCCTCCATCTGAGGGGGCTTAGGATCCAGTAGGCAGAGCTGCCCCTACAAAGATGGCTACAATGCAAGGAGGCACGCGCAGCGAGGATGACCGAGAACGGGACAGCTTCGGGGGGCTTCCCGGGGCGTCATCTTTGGGAAGCCCCCCCGCATGAAGGGACAGAGGTTATGTAAAGTTTGGCCTCAAAGACAGGCTGCAGAGAAAACCCAAACAGTGTCCCAGGAAAACAACACTTTCTACATCACATCACTAGCTTGGGCCTGAACTCAGTTTACGGGCCAACGTTCAAGGGCTCTGACTTAACATTTTTGAGGTTAACATTCAAATGGCACAGGGAGGCCTTGCAGGACAGTGCTTACCCATCTGGGCTCTGAACTTAGCTTTTTGGGGAGTTTTGGCTTTGGTACTGGTGATTTCTATGATCTGGGGCATGTTACTTAAGTCAGTTTCAACTTTCTCATCTGTAAAATGGGACTAACACTCTCCTAGGATGAATCATACAAATACAGGTAAAGTTTAGCACAGTGCCTGGCGGACAGCCCCTGTTCAACTGTACTTACATTTTTCTCTCCCTTTCTCCAGCCTGACTGCCCTGTAGAGCAATCACTTGATGATACACTGAAGGTGCTTGGAAGTTTTGCAAATATGCTATCCATGGGAGGAGGCGTTATCATTCCTGACTGTTGGACATATCTTCCACGCCTCTGAGGCTTTCCTTCGTGTTCCTCCGTCTTCCCTTTTCTATCTAGTGAACTCCTACCTATACTTCAAAGCCCAGCCTGGATACTCCCTTTTGTGACTCTCCTAAACAGGACCAAGGAATTTTCCTGGTTCCCTCAGCACCTTTTTCATATATATTATAAAGAGCTCTTCACACTGCAGTGAGAGTAGATGGCTCATAGGTGTGTTTGCCAGCTCCATGGGCAGTGACTGGTGTTTGCTAAATGTGGGAAATGAGTCAAGCCCAGGAAGAGGGAGGGATGGGTACCTCCCGTGGCAGTGTCTGCAGGAGGGAAGAGGAGGAGGGCTGAGTTATTTCTTCCCCTGCACTTCTAACAGCCACTTTATTTGGGAGAAATAACGAATTCCGATTAAGGGCATTGTCAGACCCTAATGAATTTCCCCGATCCAGCTCTACTGGCCCCGTCTCTGTGCGAGGCTGTAGTGTTATCACTAATGAAACACAAGGCAGTGAGGAGCCAAAGCCCCCACCCGCTTTAATTTAGGGGAACCATTAACAGCGCTCTCCATCATCACAATTACTGGGGCTTCTTTCCTCCCTGCGGTGAAGCTGAGAGGAACTTGTGCAGCTAACTGCATATTGGAGGGCCTTAAATTTTTTTGAATAGGAAGGAGGAAAGGAAAAGATCCCTGCATTTTGGCAACCTGGAACTGATGGAGCAGGATTTATGAGTCCTTCAATCTCCCTTTCACTTACTGTTTCTTTTTTAAAAAAAATTTCTGGGGGCAAGAAGAAGGGTTAATTACAAACTAAGCTTTTAGGCAGGTGTGCGAACAGCTAAAAATGAAAGTGGTGAAGGTGGTGTGATATGACCAAGGGAATTAGACCCCTTCTTTGTTAGCTGACCACGAATGACCACATTGGAGTCGGATGTCACCAGGCTGGGGTTGGGAGAATAACAACTAGTCCAGTGGGCTCCCTGGGTGCAGGCCTGGTGACGAGCATGTAGGTCTTGTGCTGCTGCTTTTTCACTTCTACAGATGAGGAAACTGAGGCACAGAGAGGTTATGGAACTGCTCCAAAGTCACCCAGCTAGAAGATGGCAGAGCTGAAAGTTGACGCCCGTCAGCCTGGCTCCTGGGCCTATGCCCCAACCTGCTGCAGTGGGGAGCACCAGCACCCCGCCCAGGTCCAGGGGAGCACCAGTGCCCTGCCCAGGTTCAAGGGGAGCACCAGTGCCCTGCCCAGGTTCAAAGGGAGCACCAGCACACAGCTCAGGTACAAGGGGAGCACCAGCACTCTGTCCAGGTTCAAGGGGAGCACCAGCACCCTGCTCAGGTCCAGGGGAGCACCAGTGTCCTGCCCAGGTTCAGGGGAGCACCAGCACTCTGTCCAGGTTCAAGGGGAGCACCAGCACCCTGCTCAGGTCCAGGGGAGCACCAGTGTCCTGCCCAGGTTCAGGGGAGCACTAGCACACGGCTCAGGTACAAGGGGAGCACCAGCACCCTGCTCAGGTCCAGGGGAGCACCAGTGTCCTGCCCAGGTTCAAGGGGAGCACCAGCACACTGCCCAGGTTCAACGGGAGCACCAGGGCCCTGCCCAGGTCCAGGGGAGCACCAGTGCCCTGCCCAGGTCCAGGGGAGCACCAGTGTCCTGCCCAGGAGCCTCTCCTCTGGGGGTCACACACCCCTCACCTGGAAGAGGTGGCACCCTTCAGCCTCAGAGTCTTCCCCAGCAATTTCGGGCTTTGATTGTAATCAAATTAAGAGTGAAACAAGATTTATTAGGCTTTTAATTACCTTTGCAGCACTGATTTGCATACGAACAATGTGTCAATCACAAATGGCGTTTTTAACCACTCATTAAAAATCTGGGAGCAAAAGGCAGAAATGTTTGCTGGCGTCAAGTCCGGGTCACAGTGCAGGGGCTGGGAGGGGTCCTGCTGCCTGGTCGCAGGCCGGAGCCACTTCCTGCCCTGGGCTGGCCTCTCCAGGCTTCCCTTCTCCTGGGCAGGGCTCTGCACCTCCTACAGCTCGTGGTCAGGACCAAACAGGGAGCGAGTCCAAACGCTGCTTCCCAAACCCTAAGGCTCTACCCAAGCCTGTGGGTACTCAAGGTTCTTCCCGGCCACCGGTACCCTCAGGGCCACCTCGGGGCCGCAGTGACCTGACCTTTTCTGACACCTCCTCAGGGGGGGCCTCGCCTGGAGGCACTGGCCCCAACCACAGCCTGTGGCGCCCACCTCTGCCCTCTGTGGCCTGTAACGGGCGTGACTGCATGACCTGAGCTACAGAAATCCAAGTCACAGCGTCCCCAAAACAGCCTGGGCATCCAAGCTTCCGGGCATTCCTCACCCTCTCCTGTCTGCTTGTCCTGAGAGCCCTGAAGCAGGACCTGAATCTTCAAACAGCCAGGACCTCCTAGCACCAAATCCTGAACATCCCAGGTCCCCATGCTCACCCGGCCCACCGTCTCCTTATGAAAAGGCAAAAGGAGCTTGTTCCTCCACGCCACTCGGTACAGTGTGGAGGAGGATGGTCAGACCGGCGCTGATCTTCTCTGAAAGTGCAGGTCACCCTGAACAGCGTGGGCTTGGACTGCGCGGGTCCACTGACAGGGATTTTTCAACCGACCTGCGCAGTCCAAGCCTGCGTTATGCAGGCTGCCCCCGAGCAGCCTCCCGACAGTCAGCCTGGCACCTTCCTCCTCCTGAACCTCGAGGCCAAGCCTGCCTACCACCCAAGCAGCCCCTGGCCCAGCCTGGGGACACTGCCCTCTCACCTGTGCGACAGAGTGGGTTTCATGGAGCTCATGGAGTTGAGGGGGGGCTGCATGGGGAGTTTCCCGGGGGGGTCGCTCTGGCGGCTCTTCTGATGTCGCAGCAGCAGCAGGCGGCCGAGCTCCTCGCACCAGGAGGACAGCAGGGCTGCAAGGACAGAGAGGACGATTAGTGTCACCTCGGCCACCACTGTGACGTGCCCGCCCCACCTCACTCTCCCAGTGTTAGCAACGCTCCCCACTTCTGTGTGACACCAGGAGGGTCACTAAGACTGCACAGGAGGCCTCAGTGTTCTCACCTGTAAAGTGGGACTAACACCCCCCTGAAAAGCTTCTGTGGCTGTAGGAGCAGCTCACAGGGGGGCCGATTTCAATGGCAAAGAAGAGAGGCAGGATGGTGGAGGGGACGGCAGAGATGATGCCAAGGGGAGACCAGGGGAGCCAAACAGCACGGCCAGCCGCCCCCAGGCGTCTCAGTGAAGCCCACCCCCAGACTCTGGACAGGCAGCTCGATGTGGCTTCTCCCCGGGGGCGGGGAGCCCAAACCAAAGGCTGAGACAAAGCCCAGAGCTTCCCGGAGCCTGTGGACAAGCCCAGGAGTGCCTGCACCATTCTCCACGGAACCCCTCCGACCATGGGCTCCCTGAGCAGGTGTGCGCATAGCTTCGGTCACAGCTGAGACCGGCCTTGTGCTGCTGGCACAAGGCTGGAGACGACAGAGGACTCCCAGGCAGAGGGCTGCCCAGGGGTGGGGTGGGGTGGGAGCTAAGCCAGAGTCTCCCAAGGGCACCAGAGGCAGGAACGCCTGGGAACCCTCCACATCCAGCCTTAGAGACGCCTTGAAAACCAAGAGCAAAGCAGCTCTAATTAGCAGGGTAGGAAAGTGCCCATTTGCTTTCATCCGTCATTGTCCCAGTGTGGCCACCAGGGGCCAAAAGCACCCTCAAGGTCAGCATGTCTGGTCAGTCTTTCCGAAGTGCAAGAGCGAGTTGAGGTTTGGGGAGGGAGTGAGGAGTCAGGAGGGCTCGGCGGTCATCAGTTTGCTGTGTGACCTGAAGGAGCTGGCAGACCCTCTCTGGGCCTCAGTTTGCTTGCAGGGGAGAGGAGTGATGACTCTTGCCCTGATTTCCTCCCAGGGCTGTGGTGAGGAGCAGATGTGGGAACTGCTGAGACTGCGCAGAAGCCACCGGGAGGGCGGGGGGGGGGGGGGGACCGCACCCTGGCCATGCCCCACTCCTGCCATGAGCACTTCACTCAGACTGATCTGATAGCTCTGGAAAGAGTCAACCAGGCCAGGTGGCCAGGGACCTTTGGAACCCAGGACTGCTTCAGCCACTTGGCTGGACAGAGTCCACTCCCTCATTTCCAGGGTCTCCCATCTGAACGCTGTGCATCATGCTTCTGTGGCCTTCCCTCGAATGCCCTGCAGGATCCAGGATGTCAGCTACTATCCCCATTCTACAGACGAGATGACTGAGGCTCAGGCAGGCGAAGTCACTCGCTCCAGCAACTAGTGAGGGCCAGACACACAGTTGGTGCCCTTGCCCCAGTGATAAAGTCTAACTTGGGGCCAGAATGTGGGGAGGAGAGGAAACCCTTCAAAAGGCAAACACCAAGCAGCATGGCCTCCAGCCCCTCGGACGGCATCGCGGGCCTTGGCTGAGTCCCTTTCCATGTTCAGCCGGCACTGGGGAAAGATGCTGGAGTGACTGGGCAGCTGCCACTTCAAACCGCTCAGAACCTGAACAGGGTCCCCCACCAGCAGGGCTGGGAACCATCTGAGACCCTGCCAGGCTCTGGCCCTGCCTGTGGCCCAGGCAGGCTCTATCAGGAGTGGGGAGCAAACGGGCCCAGCATTTGGGGAGCAGCGGGTCCTTTCCTGCCCCTCACTGAGTGGGCAGGGTCCAGGAGGCGGTTTTAGGACCAGCAGAAGCACTCTGCCCATCCAGTCCTGCTGTGAGCTGCCAGGGAGAGAGGTGCCCACGTTCCCATGGGCAGGCTGGGGCCCAAGGTCAAGGGAAGGGCAGTGGTTCTTACAGGGAATGGGGCAGACAGGTGAGCATCCCACCAGGGCTGCTGGGTATATCTTCTCAGCTGTGTGGGGCACAAAGATGCCCGTGGGGGCCACAATCCAGCGTGTGCCCCCTCCCACTAGAGTGCCCGTGTCTCGCTCCAGGCCGGGGTGCCAATGGGCCAGCTATGTCATAAAAGCTGTGTCCTGCCCCTTCCTGTGGGGCTCGCCTTGCCACTACTGCACAGGGAGGAGAGCGCTGGAGAGAAGCCCCCACCCTGGCCTGTGTCTGCTCAGAAACCGAGGCAAACGCCTCTAGAGTGGGCGCCCAGTACACGGCTGCCGCAGCTGGGGGGGAGCAGCTATTCACAAACAGAAATGAATTTCTAGATTGCGCCATTCTTCTCCCAAGCCCCTAGTTACTGCTTCTTTGTGCGGGGGGCACTGGGCATCTGGAAACTCATTTGCACGCCAAGCACGAGGCGCTGGATCACAGCGATGCAGGGACTGCTCGGCTGCCAGCACAAAGGACGGCACAGATGGTGCGCCCGCTGCCCGCCCTGCCCTCCCGCCCCTCCCAGCCCTCGCTCCTCCTGGGGGCCACCGAGCCGGAGCCGTGCAGGAGGCATTCAGAGCTTTCCTCCAATGACACCGGCCACCCTCCCGCTTGGTCAAGGACCGCCCTCATCTTCCTATCGCTAATGGAGTGTTTTCCTTAAAGGGGAGAAAATGCAGGGAGGCGGGTGGCGTGGTCGGGCTTAGATGCTGTGACAGATGGGGTGTGTGCATCAGGCAGCCAGTGCACAACACAAATGCCAGGGCAGCCACGCTCCTGCAACTAAGAGGGACAAGACGGGGGGCGAGGAAGCAGCGCCCTCACCCCTGGGCCTGAGCACAGAGGCCCCCCAGGCAGACACACGGCGGGGAGACGCATCCGGGCGGGGAGAGGCGCGGCAGACGGACCCAGTGCATGCTGTCATCACGGCTTAAACCAACACAGGCTGTTCCGAGGCAAATGCTAGTGAATGACAGCGTGTGGGAATCTGCAGCCAGACAGGGAGTCTGGGCGCTGTCAGAACCAGCAGGACCGGCAGACAGAGGCAGGTAGAGATGACACACACAGAAAGACAGCCCAGCGGGGTGGGTGTCCAGGGCTCCGGGAGTGTGTCTGCATGTGCCCGGGACCTGGCTGTCCTGTGTGTCTCTGCTCTGGGCACGCGCTGGACTGGGGAGGAGTCCCGGGCACGAGGAGTCCCGGGGTGGGGAGGTCGGTGGGCAGGCCTGGTGTGGTGTGCACAGAGCACACCAGTCACGGGAAGAATTTCAGGGAGACACTGGCCGTGCAGGCAGGGTCAGGAGTGTCCCTCCGACTGCTCGGGGAGCCACCCTTCCCTCATCCTGTGAGCGCCACCACTGAGAACTACGTGACCTCGGGCAACTTACAGAAGCGCTCTGGGCTTCAGTGTTTTGATCTGTTCAATGGGCACAACACGCATGCACACTCCTTAAGGCAGCGGTTCTCAACCTGTGGGTCGCGACCCCTTTGGCGGTCGAACGACCCTTTCACAGGGGTCGCCTAAGACCATCCTGCATATCAGATATTTACATGACGATTCATAACAGTAGCAACATTACAGTTATGAAGTAGCAACGAAAATAATTTTATGGTTGGGTCACAACATGAGGAACTGTATTTAAAGGGCCAGAAGGTTGAGAACCACTGCCTTAAGGTTATTCTGCTGTCTGAAGGACACTAACACGCATCACGTGGTTAAAACCGTGTCTGGTGCGTGGTGAGCACAGTCCTCGCAAGCTCTGCACGAGGTCTCCAGAGAGCAGAGGGCACATGTGCATATGTGCTGTTCTCCACAGGCAGCAAGGTGCCTGTGACTGAGAGGAAGCCATCCCAGGCCCCTCCAGAAGGTGTCAAAGAAGCCCTGAGGGACACCAGTGCCACAGCACCCAGGAGAGGGAGGGGAGGGGAGGGGAGCACAGAGGCAGGCCGTGGGCAGCAGGGCTAAGAGCCCAGGCTCTGGAGTCCCACAGACGGGACTTGGAAGTTGGGTCCCGCCACTCAAGCGGCTTCACCATGTGGCGCTGCGATTTCCCATCTGTGAAATGGGCTGAACAGAAGCTGCCCGCCTCAGCGAGTGCACCTGAGCCGTAATGACTGCTGTCAACCAACCGCAGGGGTGTCCAAGAACGGGAGGGAGGGTGGGCAGAGACCACAGCAGCCCCAGAAAAGCAGCCCCTCAATCCAACACCCACCGCCACACCACGTAACACCAGGCAAGCTGGGAGGCACCGCCTCGGGGACGGATCTGCAAGACCTGATCCCAGCTCTGCCTCTGCCACCCACGTGGCCCCTTCGGCAACTCATCTGACCGTCCTGTGGCTCGGTTTCTTCGTCTCTAAAGTGGGTGGTGGTAACTCCACTCCCACACATAGTTGTAAGGAGGAGCCAAGTCACCAGGGAGAAGCGCAGGAGCAGCACCAGCAACACAGCGCTACACGCGGGCTTGTTCCAAAGGCATTAGTGGTATCGACCTTGGCTGGCAGCCGAGTGGCCACCAGGACAGACGGGGCCTTGGCACCTCTGTGCACTCTGACCACACGGCAGAGCACAGAGACACATGAACTGGGTGGCGTGAGCTCTGAAAGTCACAGGTGTGTGTGGGGGCTCAGTGTGTGGGAGGCCCCGGAAGACGACGAGGACCCCCCGCAGCACTGTGAATGGGGCGGGCAGGGCAGGTTCCTTAGCGTCCAGAACAGCCGCAACCCAGGCCCAGATTTCATTTGGCCCCATCTTGAGCCCTGGCCTTTAGCAGCCAAATTCCAGAAGGCCACGTCCACAGGGGAAGCAGGAGTCCCGAGGGGTCCGTGGAAGGGAGAGGGGACTCCAGGGAGGAAGAAGACACGGCGGCTGATCTCTGATGCTCCCACTGCCGACACATCTCTCCAGCCTGTCGAGGAAACCCCAAGGGACCCCGGGGTCCACTCCAGACCTGCCACGGACGTCAACAACGCCGGGCACCTGCCAGCAGCACGTTCCTCACTCACAGCAGATGCTGTGCCCTGTGTGGTCTGCACCAGGGGGACAGGAAACAGTGGTGCGTGAGACCAGGGGCGGCACACCT